CTGTGCTTGGCTTTTGTCCGCCTGACACATACTCAGGCAGACTGCTGGGTTCTTGCACCTCCCGATGTCATGTGTCTGTTAGTGCATTTGGCCTGTATGAGGTTCTTCCTTTTATGGTGCTTTCATTTCCTTGGCACCTCCCAAGAAAGTATCTTTTCCTTTGTCATTAGCTTGATGAGGCAAGGAATTGAAGTGCTCTGCTCTCCAAATTGGGGTGCTGCTGGCAAGGCCCCTTTGCAGGTTGCTGGTTACTGTAGTGTAGATACCAAAAAGCCAAAGACATCCAAGAAAGTGTGTTTGGAAGCAGGATGTAGAAGGAAAGAGCTACAAATGGCGATTTCACACTGCAACACAGGGAGAAGTATTTATTTTGAAGGGAAATATAGTGGATTTCTTATAACCCCTATCCAGGAAGTTACTAAAGCAACCTGTGGAAGGTTATTGGAGGAAAGTATGTCTTGGCAAGTGCCTCTCACCCCCTGCACACCCTAAATACCATTGCTGGTTGTGTAACCATGACTGCTCAATAATACATCATTTTAACAGCTGATTTTCTTTTACAGTTCTCCGGAACATCTTCATCCTGTCATGTGTGCTCATTTTCTGCTCCTTCCTGTTCCCTGTTCTGTGGCATCTATGGATTTATGCAGGAAGTGCCAACTCCAATTTTTATTATGCCATCACGTTGACTTTCAACATAGGGCAGGTCAGTAAAGTGAGGCAAATGAAGCTGCACTGTGGGCAGGCTGCTGGATGGGGTGGCCTGTCAGCAGCAGTGAATCCTGCAGGATGGAGCTCCTCTCAGCATCCTGTATGGTCCTGCATAGCAGCTTCCTGGCTCTCCTCCTGGATTCTGCCTGTTCCTCGGCCCTTGGCACACTAATGGGAAAGAGTTCTTGTGGTGTGAGCTGTGACTTAACAATCCAACAGGGCTGACCACAGGTTTTGTGCTCTGTTGCTGATGGCCAAGGAAAAGCATCTCAGTATGGCAGGACCAAGCACAAGTAAATGGAGAAGGGGAGCTAAGAGGGGAAATGGAAAAACCTCAGGGCAGTAGCAGTGGGGCCAGAAAACAGACAAATGAGACCTGGCCATGCTCAAGGACATGGCACCAGTTTTTCTGAGACATTGTAGCACATGCAGTGTCCCAGGGATGTTGGGACTTGCCCTCCCTGCCTTTCCTGAGGCCATTCCGGATACATGACTTCCATTGGCCTTAGGGAAAGCAGAGCGTAGCACGCTTGAAGGGTGGAACTCAGTGTACACAGGTGCTTCAACCTTTTCTAAGTTCTTCCTCTTCTCTGTGCTGCTTGTCATGTGCCTGAGCCCTTGGGCAGTTTGACATGTAGGAACGTTCATTTCATGTTAAAGTTGCCTTTAGTTTGAATGTGCCTCAGCCATTTATGCTTGTCTGCTTCTCCTAAAGCCAGGGGAGCGCTTTGGCCAGGGGCAGAAAATCACCTACTCTTACCCTTGATTAATGGGGAAACACTAATTTGATAAAACCAAAAGACACTGCACAGGCTGAGAGGGAGAATAGAGATTCTAAGAGGGTCTCATAGGAAACTGGGAGTGGTTCATTACAGGTCCTGCTATGGAATGAAAGGAATAGTAAAGATTCATTGGAAATAGCAGGTGTTGATATTCTGAGAAGGTTTTATTTCCTACCTGAGAAAGTCATAGCAAATCCTGGAAGCTCTTGTGCTCTATGTAAATGCAGAAATCAGCAAGCCTCTTGTCTCATTTCCTTGTGAGAAAGATTTAGTCCTCATCCCCACTCACCTCAGCTCTTTCTTTTCCCATTTAGATATCTGCAGAGAACCTTAGTTAAAGGTAAAATCACCTGCACTGGCAGAGCCTGTCAGCAGTTCAGCAAAGCAAGCAGATCATGGCTGTTTCCCTCCCCCTGGGTCTTTTCTCCTTCACACTTTATCCCCTGACCTCAGCAGTCTGCAGCCTTGTTTCTCTTTCCCCCACTCTCCACCTGCTCCTCCATCCCCTCCAGTGCTGCCATTGAGCCTCTGCAGCGGCTGCTGTGGTTTTCTGTGCTGTATTGCACAGTAACCCAGGCAGGCTCTGACTCTCCCTCCCTCTGTGCTGGTACTTCTTAGCACTGCCATGTACTTCAGGTGACATAGTGCCAAAGGGATGCTTTAAGTGGCATCTGCACACTAGGACACACGGACAATAATTACCAGCTCAGGCTGGCACTGAAAAGGTTTTCCACTCTACTTAACTGCTTCTGTTTCCAAATGGAGGAGGGCAGCAGTCCTGTAGGAAGGTCACACTGCAAGAGGCAGTGACAAATAGCACTACTAAGCCAGCAGGTCCCTGCCACAGCCCAGTCTGCCCCCGCAGTGGCAGCTTTAGAGAATCCCCTGTCACCCATTCCTGCCATCTCAAGGCCCCCAGGCATGGGAACAGTCCCACAGTACAGCCAAAGGTGTCCTGGCTTGGGGCAGAGTGACTGGAAAGGCCACGGGAGTGCTGCTCAACAGCAGCTGAACAGGAGCCTGGTGTGCCCAGGTGGGCAAGAGGCCAATGACACCTGGCCTGTACCAGCCATGGTGTGGCAGCAGGACCAGGGCAGTGACTGTGCCCTGTGCTGGGCACTGGTGAGGCACCTCCAGGCCTGGAGACAGTTTTGGGCACCTCTATTCAGGAAGGACATTACAGACCTGGAACATGTCCAGAGAAGGAAACAGCCCCAGAAGCAGCTGAGGGAGTTGCAGGGTTTCAGCCTGGAGAAAAGGAGGCTCAGTGGGGACTTTCTCACTCTGCAACTCTGACAGGAGGGTGCAGCTGGGGCGATCAGAGTCTGCTCCCAGGGAACAGGGACAGGATGAGAGGAAAAGGTCTCAAGCTGTGCCAGGGGGCATTCAGGTTGGACATTAGGAGGAATTTCTTCACAGAAAACATGGTCTGGCATGGGAAGAGGCTGCCCAGGGAGGTGATGGAGTCCCACCCCTGGGGGTGTCCAAGGAATGCCTGGATGTGTCACTCAGTGCACTGGGCTGGGTGACATGGTGGGGGATCAGTCAAAGTTGGACTTGGTCATCTCAGAGGTCTTTTCCAGCTAGAATGACCCTGTGATTGTTGTCTGTGGGACAGCACTTGGATAGAAGGAGTCCTGTGGGTGCAGCTGAGATGTCTGTGAAGCTGTGGCACAGCTGGACCTGTCATTGTCATACATTTTGGCCAGTATATGGAGCTACTGTTCGTGACTCTCCCTTGGCTTAAGATGGCAGTGGGATGGACAAGGTGTTCCCTAGGTCACAGTGACTCCAGCAGCATGTGCTTAACACCCCAGGAGCTGCTTAACCCCTGACAGGGTCTGTCAGGTGTCCGTCTTTATTCCTTGTTCTGAAGCACCACTGATGTGTCTGAACATCTCACTCCACAGATCCTGCTCATCTCGGATTATTTCTATGCCTTCCTCCGGCGGGAGTACTACCTCACTCACGGGCTCCACCTGACAAGGCAGGACGGGACAGAGGCCATGCTGGTTTTGAAATAAGGACTGGACCACCATTTCCTGGGACATGGGCCACTCCGAGGAACATGCAAAGCTTGGGGTGCATGGGGTGGGTGGGGAAGGTTCCCTGAATGAGGTCTGACTTTGGGAATGATACCAACTGAAAGAAAGGGCTGAAGTTCTGGGAATAACCCCCTGAGCTGCAGGCTCAGCACAGACTGTCAGAGCTGCAGTGCCTCCCCCCTCAGCTGTACTTGTCACTTGGACCTCAGCCATCAGTTGCTCTGGGCAGTCCAGCAGGAGCAGGAGTGTCTGAGCTAAACTCAGGGCTGGAGCTCAGACCATGAACTGTTTTCTACCACTGCTTCTTGGAGATGTTTGCTTCTCTGGGGATCTTCCCCTTCACTGCTTTGACCAGTAACGCTCCTGCTTGGCACGAGGCAGTCTCTGCGTACCTGGTGTCCCAGTCCTGGCTGCAGATTCCATTTCTTGGTGGTTTCTGCTGTTGAGGGATCTGAAAGAATCCCATGTGCTCAGTCACAGAGGGTGCTGTGAAAGGGTTGGGTGACCAAGGATGATAACCTGGGACGACAGCTGGAGCTGCTGCTGTACCTGGTAACCTCAGCACTCAAACAGAAGTAGGAGCCAGAACTGGGGTGGGGTCAGGAGCAAGGTGGGTACCAGGTAACTGCTCTATCCCATTGGAGCAACACCGCCATGCCGGGAGCTGCACAGAGGCATTGCAGGTCTTCAGAGGGAATACTACTGAGGAGATGGACTCCCACTGCTCCCAGTTTCTGTTGGGTGAGAAAGCCTGGCAGTGCTGGGCTCACACTGTGCTGCTGGGATTACCTGGGGCAGCAGCTGGGACCAGGAGGTGTCACAATCTCTCTATAAGGTGCCAGATCAAATCCAGGAGGAGTCTCAGCCACTGCTGTTACGGAGTTGTTCCACAGCTGCTTATCACTACTGGATGTGCACTTGTGTGTGTCACCCCTGTGCCGGTCAGTGCTGGGCTCAAGGCTGTGCACAGGGGCTCCCTTCAGTCAGCTCCCCTGGTCCCCCTCACTCCTCTCTGTACTCAGACCTGCTCACCTTGGAGCTGCTGCTGCTGCCCCCTGAATGTAACACTCTAGGGTGAAGCCACCGGCTGTGGGGCTGTGTGGTGGCACAGGGATGCAGTGACCAGAGTGTGACAGCTGCCTCCAGCATCACCACTGCTCCCACAGGACGTCCCCAGGGTTGGGAATGTGACATAGAAAGCAAACTGCAGCCGGTACTGAGCAGCTGATGGATGTGCCCAGGCAGGTGTGCCTTACTGCACCTCTGTCAGCGCTTTGGGGCTGGAGCTGTGCCCAGGCCCGGCGGGAGCACGGCAAGGAGCAAAATAAACTGCGAGTTTTGGACACTCGTGTGCTCTGGTTCTGGCCGAGGGTGGGGGCAGTGTGGCAGTCTCTGAGAGTCGCAGGGAGGGGGTGCGAGGAGATCTGAAAGGAAACACGGCTTGGGGAGGAAACGTGACAAAAAAAATGGAACAGGTCTGTTTTGGGGGCAGGCTGAAACAGCCTGGCTTAAGGGAAGGGCTGCAGGCAGGGCCCTGTCCTGTGCAGCAACTGGGTTTGTTCTGGGGCTGCATCCGTCTCGGTATCCTGAAGCAGCAAGTCCCAAATTTGGATTCAAACAGTCCTGAGGAAGGTGGTGGGGTCAGCACTGAGGCAGAGGAGGAGCAACGACAGAGACATGAGCAGGGCCAGGGCCAGGGGAGGGACAAGGAGCATGGCCAAGGGTAGGGAAAAGGAAAGGGCAGAGTTGGGGGCAAGGGCAGGGGCAATGAAGGGTAAAGAAACAGGGCAGGGGCAGGCACGGTGCCAAGGACAGGGACAGAATCAGGGTCAGGGGTATGAAAGGGTGGAGCCAGGAGCACAGATGGGACAGGGACAGAAACACCGGCAGGGTTAGGGGCAGGGACAGGGATTGCCTTGCAAAGGCAGCTCAGGCAGGGACTGGAAGCCCTGTCCTGGCTCCAGACCAGTGTCCCAGAGGAAGTTTTTGGGGCCACCAGAACTGCCTGATCCCTACCAAGTGTTGCCAGTGACCAAATGCCAGGCACCAGGAGCCCCCAGACTCCCACTGCTATCAAAGGCTGGTAGGGACAACACAGCAGACACCCACCAGGGCTGCAGTGGGCCTGCTATGGAGATGAGGAACAACCCAAAAACGCCTGCAGTGGGCCCAGGGCTAGGCATTGGGGCCATCGTGCCCCCAGGCAAGGCATGCAGCAAGTCCTGAATTGGCATAAATGAAGCACTGTTGCACTTGGACCCACAGACTCGCAGCCAGGCTGAGTGCTTTGGGGGTGACATCAGTGATAAGGGGCTGCACTGGAGCGCTGCACCTCTTCCCTGGTCTGCAGGGGCTTCTCCAGAGGCACCCGAGGCTGGCAGGTCCCTCAGCCAGCAATTCCTTCCCTCAGCTGCCAGTCCCAAGCTCGCTCCCTCAGAGTGAGGGTCATGTACAGGGCCTCCTGTACTGGGTTTGTGTGTCCAGGTTTTGGTAGTGGGGTGGCTAGAGGAGTGGCTTCTGTGAGAAGCTGCCAGAAACTTCCCCTGTGTCTAGCAGAGCCATCTCCAGATGGCTCCAGGATGGACCCACTGCTGGCCAAGGCCCAGCCCAGCACAGATGGTGGTGAAGCCTCAGGGATCAGGGATTTAGTAGAAGAAAAAAGTTACTGCACAGATGTAATTGCACTCAGAGAAGAGCAGAGGGAAAATACGTGAGAGGAACAGTTCTGCACACACCCAGGGCAGGGCAGGAGGAGGGGCTGGAGCTGTTTCAGGAGCTGGAACTGAAATTCCCCTGGGATTCCGTGGGGAAGCCCATGGGGAGGCAACTGTGCCCCTGTAGCCCATGGAGGGCCCAGGGGTGCAGAGTTCCACCTGCAGCCCCTGGAGGAGCCCATGCCAGAGCAGGGGAAGGACTCCAACTCCTTTCCCTGAGCAGCAGCAGAAACAACAGGTGGTGAAGTGATCATAACTTCTATTCCACATCTACCTGCACTGCAGGAGGAGTGGAGGCAGAGCTGAGAAGGAGGGAGGTTTGGAGAAGGTGTTTTAAGGTCTTATTTTACTTCTCATTATCCTGCTCGGATTTTGTTAGTAATAAATTCAGTTAGTATCTCTAATTCAAGTCTGTTTTGCCCTGAAAGTATTTTATGAGGGATCTCACCCAGTCCTTAACTCATGAATCTTCTGCTGTATTTTCTCAGCCCTGCCCAGCTGTGGAGGGCAGTGAGAGGCTTTGGCAGGTGCCTGGTGTCCAGCCAGGGTCACCCCACCACACAGGTGTTGGCAGTGGCTACAACCATTGCAACAGTCGTGTTGCAAAGAGCAACTCTGCCAAAACAAGGGCAGCCCCCGGCCTCGGGGTTCTCTGCTTGGCTCCAGGTGACAGCCGGGCTGCAAAAGAGGTGACAGCCGCCGCCACCACGCCCCTGTCTGGAGGGGGATGCCTGCCCACGCAGCCCAGCACCGTGCAGGGGGGACACGTTCTGGACCCCAGGAGCCGCCACAGCCCGCGGGCATCCGCACCCACCCTGCCACGCACCGCTGGCCAGGGAGCGGCCGGCGCGGCTGAACATTAACCCCGGGGCGGTGTCCAGGCTCCTGGCAGTCCCAGCACCCCAGAAACAGCTGCAATGAGGGGGCTCCGATACCACTACCAGCTCCTGGTAGGTCCATCGTGATAGCGAGGAATGAGCTCTGGGGCAGCGCTGGGAGGCACCACCAGGCTGGACACGGGGCTGGACAGACAGAGGGGGGGCTGCCCTGGGGAGACCGAGGGGCTGGGGGGTGCGGGGGGTGATGGGCACACGCGGGACCTGCCCCTGCAGCCCACTGCCTCCCGAGGATCCTGGCACCCCAGGGGCAGGTTTCCTGTGCCCCCGGGCTGCACTCGCTCATCCCTCTTGCCCCCCTCAGGGTGGTGGGCAGGGTGGTGCCCCTCGGGCACGGGCTGTGCCCACAGCCACGCTGAGCGCGTGTCCGGCCGAGACACTTGTCACTAGCGGCCACCAGGATCGCGGCGCATCCCAGACCCCTTCTATGCTGCGGGGTCAGCCTGGCCGTGAGCAGAGGGAAAAGGCAAAACCCTTCTACGGGGGTTTCAGCCTTCCTGTAGAAGCCTTCCCTGCCTTCTCTTCCCCCTCCTCCTCCACCGCTTCCTCCCCCTCGGGTGGCCATACACCCTTGAAGTTCTGTGTGCAGCGGTGGCACGGCCTGGCGGGGTGCCAGCGCATGGCACGGCATGGCACGGCATGGCACGGCATGGCACGGCATGGCACGGCACCTGGGCTATCGGGAGCAGCTGGCAGCCGGGAGATGGGCTGTAGGCTCAGCCTGGTGCTCATTCCCGTGGACTTGAGCTCTTCTCCCTGCCCCTGGACAGCGGATGGGAGACACCCACGCTGGGCGGGTTGGGAGCTGCTGCTCTCTCAGGGCCGGAGAGATGCTCATCTCCTGCTGCCCGCAGCCCGACCAGGACGAGGAGCTGCCCGTGGGATGCGAGGACGCAGCTGGAGAGGGGCAGCGGGGCTGGGAGGGAGCCCCGGCAGCAGCCGAGGAGGAGCCGTGCGCGCTGGTGCTGAGCACACCCAGCAGCATCCTGCGGGACCGGGAGCTCGGGGAGGTGAGGCACCCCCGGCTGCACAGGGACCCCTCCCTCCCGCTCGTCTGCCCCGTACCCACAGCCGTGACCACTGTCCTACCAGGAATGGTCCAGTGTGAGCCAGATGGGTGACATTCCCCTGTGCCTGGGGACGGTCACAGTCACCTCTTGGGGGAAGGATGCTTGGGGAGTCATCTCAGAAGGGTTTGCAGGGTGAGGACGCTTTGGGAACGTGTTGTAGGGGAGGGTGCTTGGAACCATCTCTCAGAAGGATGCTCAGGTGGGTGTCCTGAGAGGTTGCTTGGAGGGATGAGGTGTGGGGCCCTCTCAGGAGAACTCTCGATGAGATCTCAGGTTTGCGCTGGGCCAGGGGAGGATGCTCAGCCAGTCAGCCCCGGCTGAGGCCCCTGTGCCCCAGCTGGGTGCGCAGCTGCCCCCGCGGCTGAGGCAGCAGCCCTGGCACCTGCTCTACTCCACCGGGCGGGACGGCTTCAGCCTGCGGACGCTGTACCGCAGCGGGGCCCGGCCGGACTGCCCGGCCCTGCTGCTCATCAGGGACACGGAGGCGCAGGTACGGCCGTGCCCTCCCCAGCCCCGCTGCCCCGTGTCACACGGGGCTCGGGCACCTCCTGTCCCCGTTGGCAGGACGGGGACACGCCGCGGCACTGGGACCCCTCTGAGCACCGCCCCGTGAGTCTCTCCCTTCTGCTTCCCCAGGCCTTCGGTGCGTTCTCCGCCAGCGCCATTCGCAGCAGCAGCGGCTTCTACGGCACGGGGGAGACCTTCCTCTTCTCCTTCTGCCCCGAGCTGAAGGTGCGGCCAGCCGTGGGGCACCCCGGGGCGCGGCTGGCCATGTCCCGGGTGCCGGCCACGCCCGGGGGTCCCCGCGGTGCTGGGGACATCTGGGGTCACGGGTGGGGACAGCAGCCGGGGACCCTGCTGGCAGCAGCCCCAGGTCTGTCCAGGGCTGGAGGGAGAAGGCGAATCCCAGGCAGTGTGCAGGGAGGGAAGCTCAGGGAAGGGGACGCTGCCCGGCTGGGTGTCACCGGGCTCCTTCCACATGGCAGGACGGTCACAGCCCAGCTCTAGGCTGGCAGAATGTGGAGACAGCCACATGTCTGGCACTGCTGGGGGGTTGTGTGTGATGGGGCGTTAGTGGTGGCAGCTGTGCCCTGGCAGGGTCCACAGAGCTGTTGGCCCCGTCTTCTGGAGATGTGGAACACGGAGGTGCCCGAGCGGAGCAGCGTAGCTCAGCAGCCCCCAGCTGGTCCTTGCAGGGCAGCGACAGGAAAGGGGACACTGCCGCAGCCCATGGTCCCCTCTGTGTGCTGTCCCCTCGCAGGTGTTCAGGTGGACGGGCAGGAATGACTTCTTCCTGAAAGGGGACGTGAATCTGCTGATGGTCGGTGGGGGCAGGTAGGAACGGCGCCGGCAGCTCCAGCGGCTCAGAGGGCCACAAGCCCTGATGGCCATCAGAGCCATCACAGGAATTGCCCTATGGAGCTGGGTCCGAGCACGTGGTGATGGTTTGAACTCCAAAACACTGGCACCAGCAGCACTGGGCCCTTCATTCCCTAACCCCACTGCCTGCTGGAAGGGCTGCTGCTTCCCAGCCCACTCCCCGTCTGCAGGCGCGGTGGCAGAGCTGGGCCAGCTGCTTGTCCCGTCTCATGTCCATTTTGGGGAACAGAGAGAGGACGGGAGGTGGTGCGGGAGGTCTCCAGCCATGAAGGAGGCAGGTTGCAGCTGACCGTGCTCTTGGCACATTCGCAGCGGGAGGTTTGGGCTGTGGCTGGACGGAGATCTGCACCATGGGGGCAGCCAGCCCTGCGAGACTTTCGACAACGAGACCCTCTCACACCGGCAGGAGTTCTGCATCCAGGATCTGGAAATGTGGGGTCTGGCCTGACCCCAACAAAGGCACCCAAGGAAAAAGGTGTTGGAGAGGGGGTTCTTTGGGCCGATGTCTCAAGCACAGCTGTTCCCTGACTGCACCTGCAAAGCCTGCAGGATGCTACCAGCCTCACCCCCTCCTCCTTTCACCTGTTCCCAATAATATCCTGATTTCATGGGGAAAGAACAGCCGGTGGGGGCAGCATGACTGGAATGAACAGCAGTGGGGACTCGGGGCCTGCAGTGCTGCTGCCATGTGGCTGGGGAGCCCAGAGTGTGTGCATGGGCCCACAGTGGCAGAGCACAACAAAGAGTTAGGTTTAACTCTACTCCTAGCCCTAACCCTAACCCCAAGCCCAACCCCAACCCACCTGGCAGAGCTGCCCTAGGAGGAGGGCACGTGGCAGAGCTGGGCACAGCAGGGCCCCACACGGAGAAGGAAGCTTCAAGAGCAGTGACACTTTAGGACTGAGCGAGCCCAGGCAGCCTCTGCCCCCGGGGCTGGCTCTGGCAGTGGCCAGAGACCACAAAGTCACCATTCCTCAATAAACTTCTCCTGCCCTCATCTTTGCCCTGGAAGCGTTGATTGGCTCTGTGAGGGTGTGCAGGACCTGTGGTGGGGAGCAGACCAGGAGCTGTGACAGCTGTGTCTTGTCCCAACCCGGGCTGCATGGACACAGCAAGAGCGGGGGGTCAACCTGGGGCACTGCTTCAGGGACCCATATCTATATCCCTCTGGCACAGTCCACACCCTCTGTCTATCACCCTGTGAGGACCAGGGCTTCCTCCTCAGGGGGGGCTCACAAGAGCCCTTCCCACCCAGAGCTCTACAACCTGTTGCCTCTGGCCTGGCTGACAGGGTTTAGCCTCATTTCTGGAGGCTGAGTCAGCTCTTCTCCTCATCCACCACCCCTGCCCAAGGAGCAGAACCAGCCCCACAGGGGGATTCCAGACACGAGCGGTCCATGGGGTTCCGTTGGAGGGCAATGGCCTGTCTGGTTTGACACACTTGATGTATTTATCGTGGGAGCACACTGGACATCCAGCTAAGTATCACCCCACACCCTCACCTTATGTCAGCTCCTGTCCCTAAATCTGCAATTTTGTGAGGCCTGCATCCCACAGAGCCCCAGTCCGCAGTGCTTTACACCTATTCTCCCAGCCCTGGAGTACCTTGTGCTGAACCTCACCAGCCGTTTCCCTGCTGGTTCCATCTCTCATGGCCAACCTGTGCCATCTCTCCAGAAGCTGGCACTTACCCCTTGCAGCACACACCCACACAAGCTGGGAGATTCATGGAGAAATAGGTGAAAATGGATTTAAGAGAACAGACAGGACACTGAAGGGCTCAGGCAGACACTACGCTGATCAGCCCTGTTTTCAACACAACCCTCTCATACCCCTTTCTCTCTACCCTTTCTTATCTCCCTCCTCCACCTGCAGAATGCCACTGACCCCCTCCACTGTCCCAGACCCCCAGTGACATGCCTGGAGTCCCTGCAGCCCTTCAGTGCCCCAACTCAGGGCACCCAGCCCTGTGCCCTGGTGCCACCCAATACTCCCTGCTGAAAGTGGCTGCACAGCACCCTGTGGACCTCACCCTTTGTATCCACCAGGACCTTTTCCTAACCCCTGCACTGCCTCATCCCTCGCCAGCACAGAGCCCCTGACTTCAGGCCCATTTCACACTTCTGCCAGTAGCACTGGGGTAGGATCTCCAGCTGGAGGCACCTCTGCAGGTCACCTTGCCCAGCCCCTGCTCCATCAGGGCCACCCAGAGCCGGCTGCCCAGGACGCGTCCAGGTGGCTTTTGAGTCTCTCCAGGGATGGAGACTCCACCACCTCCCTGGGCACCTGCACCAGTGCTCAGCCACCCTCCCAGTGCAGAAGTGTCTCCTGAGCTCGGAGGGCCCCTCCTGTGTGTCACCTGGTGCCCAAGGCCCCTGGGGCTGTCCCTGGCTCTGTCCCCTCTGCAGCCTCCCCCCGGGTGTTTATCCCCAGGGATGAGATGCCCTGAGCCTGCTCTGCTCCAGGCTGGGCAGTGCCAGCTCTCTCAGCCTCTCCTCACGGCAGAGATGCTCCAGTCCCTCCATCATCTTCATGGCCCTGAGCTGGACTCTGTCCAGTCTGTCCCTGTCTCCTGTACTGGGCAGCCCAGCTCTGGGCCCAGCACTCCAGGGCTGGCCTCACTGGTGTGGAGCAGAGGGAAAGGGTTCTGTACGTGCTGACAACACCAGGACACCGCTGGAACACTTGGCTGAAAGAGGAGTTGCACATTTTTTGGCTCATGGGGAACTCCTGGATCCTTTCCTCTACACTTCCTCATGGGTGGGTGGCCTCAACACATCCTGGTGAAGGAAATTACCCTTCCTGGATGCAGGAGATTTCACTTCCTCCTGGTGATCTTCTGAAGGTTCCTGTCAGACCCTTTCTGCAGCCTGTTAAAGACCCCTCTGGATACCAGCACATCCCTCTGGAGTACCCAGCCACATCTCCCCATCTGCAAATGTACTGAGGTGAGTAATGGGCCTCTGGAACTGGAGCCAGCACCACCCCTAGCACAAGACTTGTGCCACTGACAACCCACACTCCGAACCCAGTCCTCCAGGCAGGCTTTGGTCCAGCCCTGCCTGCTCACCCAAAGCCCCTGGGCAGCTCACTGAGGCTGACACCAGCACTGCTGTCCCCCGGCACAGTCATCTCAGCACAGAAGGTGAGCAGGTTGGTCAGGCATGGCTTCACCTTCCCCTCCCCTGCCAGCAGCTGGAGCAGCACCCAAGGCTTCCCTGGCCCCTGGAGATGACTGCCCAGGGCGTGCAGGGCCAGGTGGCTGCACTGAGCACGAGGAGTGCTGGGACCCTCCCTGAGCCCGGGCCCCACTGCCCATGAGGAGATATGAACCAAGAACCTCTTCAGAGGGAAGCTCTGCCAGACAGCAGGAACACCTTGGCTGCTTGGAATGGCACAGTCAGACTGTTTTTAATAAAGTCCACACACTACAATTCTTTAAAAGAATAGTAAATCATTGTTTATAAATTTATTTTTCAGAGAGGCTCAGATGTTGAGAAAATAAATGCTCTCAGAACTTAACATTAAGTATAAACTTTTGGTTTAACATAAACAAAAGATCTTTCCCAAGTATAAAGTGCACAGTTAGAAACAAATTAAAAACAAACCAAATCAACAAGAACAAAATTATATCAAAATGATACTTGATCTTATGCAGTTATATGCCTTCACTCTAAGATATTGTTTCTTGAGGAATAGTAAATTTTTAAAAGGATTTTAAAGAGGTCACAAGCCCTTCTAACCAATTACCTGGTTCACCTGCAGGTCTGAAACACTGTTAAGACGGGAGCACCACAGGTTACACCTTCAGACACATGAGCACAGATACATAAGCAGCAGAAGTACATGGCTACTCATTTTCCCTCCCTCTAACAGCACCAGTTCCCAGGATAAAAAGGGCAAAGGAGATGTTACAGGGGTTCTGGAGTTCTCTCACAGCACATTCCCACTGGGTTATTTTTCAGGACCTACCCTGGCCACCCACAGCTGACTGCCTGAGCCAGAGGTTCAACACCCCTCTTCCCATTCCAGATATAAAGGCCACAGATTGATTGCTCCAATTCCTGAGCATTACCGAATCTTTTACTTTGTGTTTTTAGTTTTATGGTCAGACTTTTTCAAGCTTTGAGGTTTTATTTAATGAAAGCAGCCTTCCTCTTAGACCTGAGTAAAAGATGAGAGGAAAATGGTCTTCACTTGTCCAACAGCACAGACATTCAGAACACTCACACCAGTACTGCCAGTTCAGGAAAACTGTAAGAACCCTCACAGATCTACAAGGGACAGAAAAATAATAGAAGGACAGCCATGAGATCCAGGAGAACAGGGCACAGATACAAGAATGGAGGTATTCCTGATAAGCCTGTCTGGCCAGTACAGTGTAAAGCAGAGACAAGGTGCACCTGGTGCAGGACAGGCAGAACAGGGCAGAACCCTGCTGGCACTGCCCTCTCTGCACACCTGAGCCCTGGCAAACACCGGGGCAGCTCAGCCTTCCTGCAACCACTCACACCACTGGCCTTTTGAGCAGTCTTTGCAGGACAGGCAGTAAAAAAGATAACATTCCATGTATCAAAAATACACAGTAAAACAATAAAAGGCTGCATGGCACTGCAATGCATTGTTAACTTCAATAAAAATTGTGGTCACTTGCAGCAAGAGGCCTGCACCAGCTTTTTGAATACCAGAAATTTAATCTTTGATTATCACAAAATTCACCTCTCCCTTCCCATTTTTTTTCCCATGAAATTAATTAATTTTGCTAATTTTGAAGATGCCAACCTTGGTAATTTCTTCTTTACCTCACTGTATATTCAGAAGCATACTTAATCCCTCTCTTCTTCAGACACAAAGAAAACCCCAACCCTCCCAAAAACCCCATCAAACCTGGGTTGGGATTTTTTCTGCTAAGCCATGCAATAGCATACCTAAGGAAGGGATCAGGACTAGATGGAGTGGTAAAATCTTGTAATAACAATTAATTGCAAATTTTAAAGTTACTCCTGCTACACAGTGCCAATACATTAAAAAATAAATGAGAACCGAGTTTACTCTGTTGTAATAAGTTGTTTCTTAGAAGCCCATCTGGAATATGTACTTTAAGTATCTACATAAAAACATTCTGTATTGCAAAATGCATTCTGCATTTTCTGAGAGTTATTCCAGTCCATCCAATCAGCTTTTAGAAAAGTTGATGCTCAAATTTACTCATCTTCTGAGGAAGCAGACTGAATAGCACCAAAAAGAAACCTGTTACTCATCAAAAGGAAGCCTTTGTTTGCAGCTGGGTTCTGAGGCTCTCCTGTGTTCATTATCTGTCATCTTATTCCAGGTTTCCTTCATTGGAGTTAGATGAGGAGCAACAATATCACCATCCTAGTATTAAAATACAGGAAACATT